AAAAAAAATTTGTTTTTAGAAATGACACAGAACTTCACTAAACAAAATGATGGAAATTCAACAATGGTTGTTACAGTGCATATTGTTGCCTTCAAATCAGTTGCTCAGATTTTCAGTTATAAATGCAAAATTTGTCAAAAAAGAAAAAGAAAAATTAGAAAAAAGTTCAGTATTAATTGTTCCTTTCAGAAGAACAGTAGATGTCAGCGGTATAGCTGTCCGACCTGCCCTGTGTGTACACCTACATAATTCTTTCCTTTATTTTCTCCTTTCTCTCATCTCAGTTGCTCCTTCCTTTGGATAGTTTCTTTCCCTTTCACAGTAGGTGTCCTACCTTGGATTTTATTTACTGTTTCAGGTTCTTACATGAGGGAGGCTGTGCGGTGTTTACACATGTGGGATCATTCAGTATATACAAATTAAAACAACACAGATTCCATCTCACTCCAGAAAGAATGGCTCTTAGCAGGAAGTCAACCACTAGCAAAGTCTGGAGGGCCTGTGGAGAAAAAGAACCCCTTTCCACTGTTGGTGGGAGTGCAGACGGGTGCAACCACTATGGACATCAGTGTGGAGATTGAGAAAACTGGGATTAGAAGTCCTATTCGCCCCAGCTGTTCCCCTCATACAGCAGTATATGTGCACCCGTGTTTATAGCGGCACAGTTTGTCATAGATTAAATCTTGGAAACAACCCAAATGCCCATCAACTAACTGGAGGATGAATAAAAAAGATGTGGTCTTTTCATGTAATAGAGTATTACTCAGCTAGAAAGAAAGATAAACTTGAGGTGTTTTTTTTTTTTTTTTTTTTTTTGTATTTTTGAGATAGGGTCTTGCTATGCAGTTCAGGTTGGCGTTGAACTTGGAATGATCCTCCTGTCTCAGCCTCCCAAATGCTGGGATTACAGGTGTGCACCACCATGCCTAGCCAAACTGGTGGCTCATATAAATGGATGCAACTGGAGACCATACTCCTAAGTGAAATAAATCAGTACTTTTTGCTTAAGGTAGGTTTTCTTTGATCCAGTTCTAGAGAAGTCTCTCCTGTTGGTTTTGCCTTATTAGGAATAAAGCCCAAAGCCCAGATGTGGCTGTGAGAGTATCCTAGCCCTTCCCCGGCGGGGCAGTATAAAGTGCAGGAGATGCAGGAGGCCTGGACAGTGCTTTGAGGCAAAAGAGGAAGTCAGTGTTGAGACCCTGGGACCACTGCTGTGGAGGCTGCTGATTGAGAGTGAGGGGCATGGTAGCGCAAGGTCGTCTGAGCTGCCAGGGTCGTGCTCCGTGCTGGGGAGGTGAGGGAGCTGCTGCCCTTAGGCAGCAGTGAGCTGGCGGCAAAGGCTGTCTAGCAGGGCTTTGCTGTGGCATCACGAACTGTGTGCTGAGCCCTCCAAGGGGGCCGTACGTGGGCTGAGTGGCACCAGTATCCCCTTCTCCTGTCTCCTGGAGACCTGGGGTGCTGTGCGCAGCTCTGGGTTCTGGTCCAAGGTGACCGCTGATGACTGTTTTCCAGAGACACCATGGACAGTGTGAAGCAGAGCGCGGCCCTGTGCCTGCTACGCCTGTACAGGGCGTCCCCTGACCTTGTCCCGATGGGCGACTGGACGTCACGTGTGGTGCACTTGCTAAATGATCAGCACCTGGTGAGTCCATGCCACCCCTGTGACCGAGGATGCGAGCAGTTGTGTATGGCACTGGTGTCCCTGGGCACAGCGTGCTGTCCCCAGACTGTCCCAGGCTGTGCTGGGGCCCCTGCTGGGCTGTTGAGTGGAGGCTCCCCGGACCCATGCACGGCAAAGATGGTGCCCAGGAAACAGCTGTCGGATGCGTGGTGTCCCCGTGTCCTCTGGCATTGTGGATGCCTGCACGCATCCCCCCAGGCCACGCCTGCTGGGGTTCATTTCCAGAGAGAAGCCAGGTCCAGGGCAGAGGCCCTGGCAGAGCCCCAAGCGAGCTGCCCGTTTGCCTTTCGCAGGGCGTGGTCACTGCTGCCACCAGCCTAGTCACCACACTGGCCCAGAAAAACCCTGAGGAGTTTAAGACCTCCGTGTCCCTCGCTGTCTCGAGGCTGAGCAGAGTGAGTCCGCTGGGGCAGGTGTGGGCGTGGGCATCTGGCGGAGGCTCTCCAGGCGTGGGGCCCCTGGGCTCGGCTGTGGCCACCTGAGCATGCGCCTGCACAGTCCTCCGGCACCACCTGTGTCCAGGGCATGGTAGACAGACACATACAGCACATGCTGTTCCTGTGTGGCCTGTCCCACCAGTGCTGTGTGGAGTCCTGGAGGCTGTCCTGCGTAGCTGTTGTCCACTGTTCCTGACTGCAGAGAGCTGGATTCAGTTGTGCCCTGGGGCAGCCTTTCTGGTCCACTGTCCTGTGGAGCCTTTTGTGTGGGGCCACCCTCTTGGAGCAGCCTGAGGTGTCCCTCGTGTGTGTGTGTGTGTGTGTGTGATGCCAGTGGCTATGGACTGCAGCTGAGGGGCAGTGCTGGCTGCCGGTGTGCGGCTGTGCCCAGCACGCTCGTGGTGGGGTGCTTTCCTCCTGCCCTGCCGTGGCCTAGCGAAGCTGCTGCTGGTCTCCTGATGCCAGCGAGTGGGCGCTGCCTCTCCTGTGGGTGGCTGTTGGGATCTCTTCTTGGTGCAGGGCTGAGGCCTGGTGCCCATGTTCCCACCGGGCTGTCCTGGGTCAAGTGCCTTCCAGGTGCTAGAACCCACAGCCTCGTGCATGCTACCCAAGTGCTCACTGAATGACATCTCTGGCCTGTTTTTTTTTTTTTTGCAGTACTGGGGATTGAACTTGGGACATTGCCCTTGCCAGGCAGGTGCTTATGCTGCTGAGCTGTCACCCCAGCCCGAGTTGTTTTTGTTTTCTAAAATTTCTTTCTATCTTAAATATGAGCACAGACTGCCAGCACTTAGCCTTGGTTGGTCTGCAACAAAGGCTACTTTGAGTGGCCACCCACACCATCCTCTGAAGCTGCTGTGGCCAGATGCTGCGGATGCTGCAGGGGCAGTGCATCCTGTGAGCCAGCCGTGGAGCCGGTTGTCCCAGGGCTCGTGGGTCCTGCTGGCTGTGCGAGTGTCTCCTGTGGAGAGGCTGTGCCACACTGGCACTGTACAGCCCCAGCCAGCCTGCACCTCGTATGCCTGTTCCTGAGCCCCCTGAAGCCTGGGTTCCTTACCCTGAAGTCCTCCTGGGAATTGGGATTGCTGTTGTGGACACAGTAGCTTGTCTTCTATTTTTTCCATAACATTTTATAGCTTTTTGAGCTTCTATTTATCTGTGTTTTGTTGTTATTGTTGTTACCAGGGATAAAACTTGAGATCTTGTGCTTGCCAGGCAGGCGCTTATGCCGCTGAGCTATCTCCTGGCCCTCCTTTTCTCTTTCTGCATTTAGTTCTGCGTTTTGCATTTATTTCTGTGTTTATATTCTCAGTGATAGCTTCAAGATTTCCTTTTAATGGCTATATGTTTGTGCAAGTGTTTTTTTGTGAGTTCATAAGTAAATATTTCCGTATACCTGCGCTTTGTGACCTGAGTCTGGCCCCGTAAGTGCTGACCCTGCCCTGCCACGGTGTCTGGGTGATGGCCGGAGTGCCCCCCGTGAGCAGAAGGCTGCAGCGGTTGGTGATGGCTTTGTGCTGCCCAGGCGCGTGTTGGGGTGTCGGCCAAGAATGTGCCCCCGAGGGCCATGTGGCTGAGGGTGGGTGCTCCCTGGCTCTGCACTGGGCGTCCCTCTCCTGTCTGGCCACAGCTGTCCGCTGCCGCTTGCTGGCGTGCTGGTCGTTCCCAGAGAGCTGCTGCTGGGCCTCCTGCGGAGCTGCCTCAGCAGTCTGTGCTCAGAGCTGGGCCTTGTGGGGGTTGCTGAGGTGGCTGTCTGCGAGTACAGGCAGCCGTGGCAGTGGCCCTGCGTGGAAACCACATCCCCTGGGCTGTGGCCTGAGGACAGGTGGTTCTCCTCACTTCTGCTGGGGAAGGTGCCTCGTCCTGCGTTGTCTTACAGATTGTGACGTCAGCATCCACGGACCTCCAGGATTATACTTACTACTTTGTCCCAGCACCCTGGCTGTCGGTCAAGCTGCTGAGGCTGCTGCAGTGCTACCCGCCCCCAGGTAATGGCCCCCTCCCTGCCTGGGATTGCTTCGGGGGTCCTCTGTGCACAGCAGCCCAGAGGCAGCGGGAGGCAGGGCTCTGCGGGATTGCTGCGGGGGTCCCCTGTGCACAGCAGCCCAGAGGCAGCGGGAGGTAGGGCTCTGCGGGATTGCTGCGGGGGTCCCCTGTGCACAGCGGCCCAGAAGCAGCGGGAGGTAGGGCTCTGAGGCCTCTTGGCGGCCGCCCATGCACTTCTCTGGCCGCTCCTATAGGTCTGTGCCATCAAGTCTTGGGTCTTTGTGTAGTACCACAGCTGTGTAGTTTTTCCGGACCTCTCTTTAACTGGAAACTTTGTATCATAGAATTTTGTAGTCATTATGTTTGTGGTTCATCATATATATATATATATATATATATATATATATATATATTTTAAATTGTATTTATTTATTTGGCCCACGGTCTCACTACACAGCTCAGACTTGTAGTGATCCTCCTGTTTCAGCCTCCCCAGTGCTGAGGTTACAGGTGTGCACCACCACAACCTGTTTTGGCAAGGGTGACAAGGCATGCCCAGGTCTCTGCGCTTGCCAGGCAGGCATTTAGACTGCCCAGCGGCTCTCTTGCCAGTCCCTTCATCCTAAATATTGTACTCCTCATGTGGTATCTAGATGTCCATTTTGTGTTTAAAGAAAGGGCATAAATTTTTTTGCTGGATAATCCTGTTTGTCCTGTGATGAGATTGCTTTGCTCCATTTACATTTTAATATGTGTTTATATGAGAAACCTCTTTGATAGGGCCGGGGAGATGGCTCAGTGGAATAAACGCTTCCCTGGCAAGTGCAAGGGCCTGAGTTCAATCCCTGGTTCTGCCAAAAAAAAAAAAAAAAAAAAAAAAAAAAAAAAAGAAATGTGTTTGTTAAAGTTAGGCTCCTTTCTGAAATAGGCACTTCCTGCCCGGGGAAGCGCCCACACTGACCTACCAGCGCCGGCTGGCCTCGCACTTGCGATGATATTTCTGCCTCGAGTGCTTGAGCTGTTAGCATGTGTCACCACACCACTGTGGTGTTTTGGTGGTGCTGGGGACCAAACTTGGGACCTTGTGCTTGCCAGGCAGTCACTTAGCTATATCCCTGGCCCCCCAGCATGTTTTTTGGTAACCACGTTGCATAAGTTAGCTCTGGTTGCCAATTTTTTTTTTTTTTTTTTTTTGCGGTACTGGAGATTTGTTTTGTTTTTATTTTTGGTCAATACCATTGTTCTTCTGATCATGAGGGTTTTAAAATTTTATGTTTCTGTGCCAGTCAAATAGCTCAGTGCATTAAAGTGCCTCAAGCAGGTACAGGGGCCTGGAGTTCGATCCCGGGCCTGCCAGTGCCGGCCCCGCCCCCGTCCCCGGGGCACACAGAGCCAGCAATTGAGACTGGGTGTTGTGGCGCGCTCCTGCAATCCCAGCTCTTGGGAGGCTGTAAGCAGGCAGATCACTATTGAGTCCTATCTAGTAGTGAGACCCTGAACACCCTGTAGACCCTTCCCTAAACAAAATACAAAAATAAATAAAATTTTACGTTGCTGTTCACAGTATTTTGTCTTCATGTTGGTACTATCAGGTAGAGAAAGCGTATTTTGGCTTTTTTCCCAAACCTCATCCTATCTCTTGGGTTTTATTTCCTCTGGACTAATACAGTGTAATCTCAGAGAACTGTGCCTGTTGGGTGCACGCACACTCATCCAGATGCCATGTGCTCGCTGGTCCTGCCACATGGTAGCTGTGCCCACACCGCTGTGTCTCTGGGTCCCGGCGGTGCTCGGCTGGCTGGATGCAGCCGTGAGCAGCAGTGTGACAGTGTTCCGGGACGTGCTGTAGGCAGGCCGGGCCGGGCGGGGCTGGGGCCTGGCCAACAGTGCTGTCTCGTCCAGAAGACCCTGCAGTGCGAGGCCGCCTCACCGAGTGCCTGGAAACCATCCTGAACAAGGCGCAGGAGCCGCCCAAGTCCAAGAAAGTGCAGCACTCCAACGCCAAGAATGCTGTCCTCTTTGAGGCCATCAGCCTGATCATCCACCATGACAGGTGGGCCGGTTGGCAGCCGTCTGTCCCTACTCAGACCCGACCTGCAGCTTTCTCAGCACCCCACCTCCCATGTGAGACCCTTTCTTCCCTCAGTAGCCAGTGTCCTTCTCTGCCCAGCTCCTCTCACCTCTGGGCAGAGGCCTTGCCGAGCTCTGAGTGGCTTTCTGTGCTGGCCTGAGTCCTTGTGGGGTCCTGGTGGTGGTGGTGGTGGTGGTGGTGGTGGCTGAGCCATAGTGGTGGTGCAGAGAACAGCTGCTCTGAGTCTGGCCACCTGCCTCCGCTCAGCCCTTCTGCTTGTGCTCAGGGCCTGGCCTCTGCGTGGCCAGCAGGGCCACAGACAGCTGCGAAGCTAGCCATGTTGTCACAGTGTATCTTGGCAATGTCCTTTGCTGTGCCAGACCAGTTGCACTTCAGCAGGGCCAGGAGCTGTTCTCTGTCCTCATTAGCTGTCCTTAGAAATCCGCCACAGGAGGCAGGAGGGCCTGTCTTAGTGACTTTTATTGGTGCTGAGACAAAATACCTGACACCAAATTAAAGGGGGAAAGTTTTATATCAGCTTACACTCTGTAGAGGGTTCAGTCCAAGTCGGCTGGCTTCAGGGCAAGGGGTGGCAGGGCAGAGGGGCAGCAGGGCACAGCCGGCAGAAAGTAGCAGAGGGACAAGCAGGGAGAGAACAAGACAAACCTCCCTGTCTCTTGTGTTGTAAGCAGGTTACCTGTGTGCAGCAGGACAGGTGCAGCACTTCATCCTTAATCCTAGCACTAGACAATGAACCCACCACAAACTCTAGATTGAGCCACCTCCAGAAAGCCCGCCCCCTGACCACAGGCTTTGGGGGGACATCCAGACACAATCGTAATGGCCTGTGAAGCTCTGGGCTGTGTCCTAGGAGTGTTTTCCCTGTTACGCCAAGCCCACACCTCTGGGCTATTGCAGAGTCAGAGTCAGGGCTCGGGAGGGGTCTGTGTGGCTACTAGGAGTAGTGGGAGCTGCAGGTCCTCTGGGGGCTGCAAGGAGGTGGACAGGACACCAAGCTCGGGGTCCATATCTGGGCTCTGTGCAGGGCCCTGCATGGTGTGTGGCTTCCAGGCTGGTGGGGGTCCTCCAGTGTGCAGGACACTGAGGAGCCCCTGTGCGTCTCCACACAGTGAGCCCAACCTGCTGGTCCGTGCCTGTAACCAGCTGGGCCAGTTTCTGCAGCACCGAGAGACCAACCTACGCTACCTGGCGCTGGAGAGCATGTGCACGCTGGCCAGCTCCGAGTTCTCCCACGAGGCTGTGAAGACACACATTGACACTGTCATCAACGCCCTCAAGGTGTGGCCCTGCAGGGGCTTTGGGCATGGGGAGATTAGTGGAACTTCCCAGGGTGGGGGTGGGCTGGGGGTGCTGTCCCATAGGTGGCCACAGCACTTGGGTGAAAGTTGTGGCGCCCGTGTGCCTCAGGGTCCTGCTGCTCCCCTGGGCCGAGTGTGTTTTTTCTGGCCCCCCTCCTTGTGTGGTACCCTGACTGTAGAGTCCTAGCTCACTGTTCAGTGGACAGAAACCATTCTGCTTCAGGTGGAAAGATGGAAGTAAATTTTTTTTTTTTTTTTTTTTTTTTTTTTTTGAGGTACTGGGGATCAAACCCAGGACCTTTACACCAAGCTGCATTCCCAGCATCTCTTTAATTTTGAGACAGGGCCTTGCTAGTCACTTAAGTTGCCCAGGCTAGGCTAGAACTTGTAGTCTTTCTGCCTCAACCTCCCATATTACAGGTGTGCATACCATGTCTAGCTGTTTTTTTTGTTTGTTTGTTTGTGTTTTTTTTTTTTGGCAGAACCGGGGATTGAACTCAGGCCCTTGTGCTTGCCAGGGAAGCGCCTGTTCCATTGAGCCATCTCCCCGGCCCTTTTTTATAGTTTTATTTGTCTTTTTTAAATTTTATTTTTTTTATTTATTTATTTTTGTTTTTTTTTTGGTCCTGTCCAAGAAAACTTACTATTTTCAAGGAAAGTTCACCTTGTCAGGGACTTCAAGTGTTTAAGGATTAAAATCCTAGAGTTGTGAGGGCCCAGTGGGGCTGTCTGTCTCTACTGTTGGCCTCGGGGAGGTTTTGGGCCTAGCACACACTGGCCTGACATTGCTGCTTGGTAGACAGGTGACAGGACATGAGCCTGCGCTGGTGTGGCCTGGGCTGCGGCCTGGCAGGTCTGATGCCCACTGCTGTTGGTGTGACGTAGGTGTTCAGGACCTGCTGAACAGAGGCCAGGCTTCGGGCCATCTGTTGGCTGTGGCCCCCCACATCATAGCAGCCCTAGCAAGGGCCTTGATCCTGCCCTGGGTGGCCCTACAGCTTGTCTTTGCCATCTGTTCCTGTGCTGACTGTTGTGAGCTCCCAGGTGACTACAAGGGCATCTGTGACCACACAATGGGCACTCTGACCCCATCCACTGAGGAGCAGGCAGGAGCAGGGGATTGCAGGGGCACTGGGTGCCCAGTGAGTTCTGGCAAGCTTGTTTGGTCTGAGTGAGTCAGGGTGAGGGTACTCGCCGGGCTGGCAGAACCCTGTGGAGCTGCTGGTGCTGTGTGCGCGGTTTTGACTCCCTCTTGTTCCCAGACGGAGCGGGATGTGAGTGTGCGGCAGCGGGCTGTGGACCTGCTCTATGCCATGTGTGACCGCAGCAACGCCCAGCAGATCGTGGCTGAGATGCTGAGCTACCTTGAGACGGCGGACTACTCTATCCGGGAGGAGATCGTGAGTGCCTTGGTGGACACGCCCGCCGTGCTGGTTTCTCAGTGTCTGTGGTTCTGCCCATCTGGCTGGTGTATGTGTGTGTTGTGTTTCCATGTGTTGCGATACTCCAGCCAACACTGACAGTGGCATTGTGAGTGTGGTTGGAAGGAGGCCATAGTGGCTGGCGCCAGGCACGTACGTTGGGGCCCTGGTCCCTTTTCTGTTGCCTGTTTGTGCTCAGGCTGTGAGCCTGCTCTAGTGCCTCCTGCAGGGCTGGTTCTTGTGTCTCGAACAAGGAGGGGGGTCAGTGGAGCTTATGCTGCCTTCCTGGGTGCCACACTGGCTTGGGGAAGGGGCTTGCAACCCCAAAACTTCAGGGAGCAGCCTGCCTTCTCTGCTGCTCCTCCGATGGTGCTGGCTTCTCATAGCCCTTGGCCCTTGGCCCTGTAGCAGTGGACAGTGGAGTGGTAATGGCCCCACTTCTGGGGTCATGGGCTCCTCTGAGACTCCTGCTCCCCAGCGCTAGGTCCTCCTGAAGCCTCAGGTGGGCTGTCTGTGGCTTGTCCCGGGCACTGCTGTTGGCCTGCTGGCCTCTTCTGACCAGCCCACCCCCCAGGTGCTAAAGGTGGCTATCCTGGCGGAGAAGTACGCAGTGGACTACACCTGGTATGTGGACACCATCCTGAACCTGATCCGCATCGCAGGGGACTATGTCAGTGAGGAGGTGTGGTACCGTGTCATCCAGATTGTCATCAACCGTGACGATGTGCAGGGCTATGCCGCCAAGACAGTGTTTGAGGTAAGGCTGGGTCCACCCATGGGACAGGGCGAGCCAGGCTCCCATGGTGATGCCCAGGCCCCAGGAGAGGGGTGCAGGGTCCTGGTGGGAGAGCCTCACCTTCTCCCTGCTGAGGCCTGAACTCTTTCCCCTTGGCCTTCTCAGTCTGTACGAGGGTGGGACACTGTGACTGCTGGGGGGCCGCTGTGGGAACTGTGTGTGCCTTTGCCTCATGCCTCTTGCTGACCTGGAGAGGGCACTGAGGGCTGTTGCAGCCCTGCAGCTTCCTGGGCTCAGGGCTGAGGTTTCCGGGTCTTCGGGATGCTTTGGAGGGAGTGCGCGCTGGTGTAATATGCCCCAAAGTATGAGACCCCATTGTCCTTGCTTCTGGCTTGTTGCCGCTGGACGCTGGCTGGGTGCTGGCTCACTGGGCTTGTGCTTTCACAGGCCCTGCAGGCCCCTGCGTGCCATGAGAACCTGGTCAAAGTGGGCGGCTACATCCTGGGAGAGTTTGGGAACCTGATAGCTGGAGACCCGAGGTCCAGGTGAGACACCCTGGCTGTGGGGGTGATGCACGGTGTGCAGCCCATCCATGGAGCTGCTGCTCTCGTGTTGCTGTCCTTTCCCCTCTGGCTGTCCCTGGCAGGGCTCCAGGGACGTGTGGAGATGTGGCCCAGTGGACCTGGACCAGAGCATGGTGTTGTGGTGGCTGTGTCTTCATTGGTGTACCAGCCCGTGCTCCAGTCTCTGAGCACCGCCTTTTCTACCTGCAGCCCTCTGATCCAGTTCAACCTGCTACACTCCAAGTTCCATCTGTGTAGTGTCCCTACACGGGCCCTGCTGCTCTCCACCTACATCAAGTTCGTGAACCTGTTCCCTGAGGTGAAGACCACCATCCAGGATGTGCTGCGCAGTGACAGCCAGCTCAAGAATGCGGATGTGGAGCTGCAGCAGCGGGCTGTGGAGTACTTGCGGCTCAGCACTGTGGCCAGCACTGACATTCTGGTATGGTGTCTGGTGGACAGTGTGACAGAACTGGGGCTGCCTAGTGCCTCCCTGAATGCCTGTCTCTTCACCTAGGCGACGGTCCTGGAGGAGATGCCACCCTTCCCGGAGCGTGAGTCCTCCATCCTGGCCAAGCTCAAGAAGAAGAAGGGGCCGAGCACGGTGACTGACCTTGAGGAGGCCAAGCGAGAGCGCAGTGTCGATGTGAATGGGGGCCCCGAGCCTGCCCCAGCCAGCGCCAGTGCTGCGGTAGGTCCCCAAGCCCAGAACCCGGGGTGCCCAGGCTACAGGCATGCTGTACACTGAGGCCCGTTGGGGCTGCCCCAGAAGGGCGTGTCTGTACCCTGCATGAGGCTGTGGGTGGTCCCTGGGGTGGATTCGATCCTCACTGCCCACCCTCCTGCGGAGGTCCCTGCTGTGTGGGAACAAATGCTCTGCCTGTCTTCAGTGCCCTGCGTGGCGACCTGCAGCAGAGGGTGGCAGCACCCTGACGGCAGTGCCCTGTGGCGTCTGTGAAGAGAAGCCCACCTCCAGGCTGAGCTTGCTTGGTTCTCCCCCACCCAGGATGGGGGCCTTCCCTGTGTCACTCGTGGGACCTTGGGGAGATGGGTTCCCTCTGATGTGCTTCACGGCGGCCTGTGTCTTGAGTCCTGGTGCTCCTTGTGGGCTTCCGCGCAGGCACTTGTGACCGAGTGTTCTCTTATCTTAGACCCCTGCCCGCAGCAAGGCTCGCGGGCTGTGCCGCCTAGCCCTGCGTTTCCCTGGGTGGTGAATTGGCTCTGCTGCCAGTGGGAGGCGCGTGCCTCCTGTGCCTCTTTCTCCTCCCTCCTTCCCTCCTTTCTCTGCCTGTGTGACTGAAGGGTTGGCCCTCAGAGCCCGTAGCCCTCTTTACTGTCTCTGGAGCTGGGCTTTTTCCTGTGCTGTCCCCTGGAGATGTTGCTAGTGGTCACCTGGAGAGGGTCCTGGGAATACTAGTGGCAGCCACATGAGCTGGGGTAAGGAGTCCCAGGGCACCCTCCAGCTCACGTGGCTGCCCAGGGAGAGCCCTCCTGTGAAGGGGTGTCCCCAGGCTCTGGGGGGAGGAGCTTCTTCTTCGGGACAGCATTGACAGCGTTCCTCTCAGTGGCTCCCCGCCATATGCTTGGTCCCCTATATACCCTTCTTGGTGCTTGGCTGGTTTGCCTGGACTCTGGCGGCCTGGGGCTCTATCTTCTCATACCCATACCTCTTTGCAGAACGTACTTTATAAAGTCTCACTTATGTATGAGACAGGGTCTTGCTGTGTATCCAGGCTGGGCAGAGGCAATCCCCCTGCTTCAGCCTTCTGGGTTCTGGGGTTCCAGGTGTGCGCCCCCGCACCAGGCTTTTACCCCACTGGCTTTGCAGTGATGGTTCTACGGGGAGCCCCGCAGCTGCTTGGATGCAGCCTGACGCCACGCCATGTGTGAGGGCAGTGAGCGGCTGGTGTTATCTGCAGCTGTGTTGGGGGCCGAGGGTGCCCTGGGGTGCACACACCTTTGGGTGTGAGTCTGCGGCGGGATGTGAGGGGTGCAAGGGGGCTGCCTCCAGTCTCAGGGGAGCAAGGCTCTGTTCTGTGGGAAAGGGCAGGTGTTGGAGGGGTCCAGGGTCAGGGGCCCTGTGCCTCTGGCGGTGGCCATGAAGGCTGAGGCGTCCCCACAGTCCCCGGGCCGCAGCCGGGGCGCAGGGTGGCACCTGCCACACTCTGGCCTCATGCTGCATGGCAGTGTCAGCATTGCTTTTCCTGTGCTTGGGCAGGGATGGAGAAGTGGCTGTTCTGTAAATTGTGTGTCTCGAGGCTTTGTCTCCTTTCCTTCGTAGCTAGGCAAAGGCTGCCTAACTGATGGCCATGCGTGTGCCCGGGTCGTACTCTGTGCCGCACTCCTGGGTGGTTGCAGCTGCTGGTGGCACCCACCTATGGGAATGCTTACGCTGATGAAGTCATCCGCTGTATCACATTAGACTTTCTTCCTGAGCACCGTCTTTGGTGGCAGGAACCTTTCCAGGGCTTTTTCACCGACTTGACGCTGTGAACAGCGGCCACTATCTCCTGTGTGTGCCGCTGTTGTGGCCGTCAGGTCCTTGGTGCAAGCCTGGTGGACGGACCTCGAAGGGTGCCTGCAGGTGGTGGGAGGGCCTGGGTAGGTGGCTCAGGTGCCCTGTGTCCCGGTGTGGACATTCTTGTTTCTTCTTTTGCAGTCCACACCCTCTCCGTCTGCCGACCTGCTGGGTCTAGGGGCTGCCCCCCCAGCCCCCCCAGGGCCCCCGCCCTCTGCCAGCGGGCTGCTGGTGGACGTCTTCTCCGACTCCGCATCAGCCGTTGCACCCCTGGCTCCTGGCTCTGAAGACAACTTTGCCAGGTAGCCAGCTGTCCTGAGCCTGAAGGGGCCTTGGCCAGCACAGCGCTGGCCCTGAGACTTGCTGTCACACCGGCCTTTGAGAGCAGCCAGGGATCACAACAGCTGAGGTCCTTAGGAGATGGGACAAGGGGGAGGGGGCCATTCTGGGGTCTGGAGGCTGCTTTTGTTGGCATCGGGCTCCAGCATCCACCCTGTTTGGCTCTTGGTTCACACCGAAACCCTGCCCGTTGATCTGGGAGCTGCTTCAGTGGCCCTCCCTTCCCCTGGGCTCCATTGTGTACTGCTGTGTGGGACAAAGGGCCATTGCTGACCATGTGTTTGGCTTGGGGCTGTCTCTCCTACCCCACCCCACCCCTGGCACAGTAGGTGGGCCACAGGGGTACAGCGCCCTTGCATGGTAAGGGCGCTTGCTGGCTGGCTGGGGACCCTTTGGGAAGTGGCCTGCCAGGCAGAGCTTCCTTCTTGGGCATTCTGGGGTGCAGCCAAGCCCAGTGTGTGACCCAAAGCATCTGTGTGGACCTTTGTGGGGCCCATGTGCAGGGCGGTGGCTGGCTGTGACAGATGGGCCGCGTGCGTGTGCCTCTGTGCCTGCCTGGGCACATGCCCCAGTGCCTCCAGGCAGTGCCTCTGTGCCAGGCCTTGCCTGTGGTGCCTCCTCCCCTGGTTGGTCTAGCCGGTCTGGACATGAGGAGGTGTGCACCCACTCTGGCCTGGTCTGGGTCTTAGGAGGGACGGTCACTTCGTCCTTTGTTGTCTCTGCATGCTGTTCCTCCTTAGTGTGCTCTGCATGCTTTCCCAGAACAGATCTTTGTGGTTTAGTGGGTGGCCTTGGGTGACACATACACTGTCTCTTTTCCCCTAGGTTTGTGTGTAAAAATAACGGTGTGTTGTTTGAAAACCAGCTGCTTCAGATTGGACTTAAGTCTGAGTTTCGGCAGAATCTAGGTATGTGTTTTAGTTACTTCACAGAAGCTCGGGAGGGTGAGAGACGTGCTGGCAAAAGATGAGCGTGGGGCCTGCGAGGGGTTGCGCTCATGGTCTGGCTCAGGGACCAAGAGCCAGTGGGGAGCACGAGTCCTCGGGCGCAAGGGCTACGGCAGCAGGTGCTCAAGGTGCCCCGTGTGCCACAGGAGAGACCAGATGCTGGTGGGCGGGCGGCCAGAGCCCTGCCGCTGTCACAGAGAGTGCAAGGCGGAGGCTGCCGCGGAGAGCAGTGGGCAGCTCCTCAGAAAGTTTGAGATGCATGGGGCCAGGCATGGGGCTCACTTGCATAAGCACCTGCCTGGCAAGCGCAGGGTCCTGAGTTTGATTCCTGGTACCAAAAATTTAAAAAAAAGATGGTATTCTTTTTCCTTTCCCTTTTGCACAAAGAGCAGGATACTCCAGGCCGGGCTATGTCTAAGGGGGCAGAGAAGAGGAAGCTCTCGCCAGCGGTGGCAGCAGCCTGTCTGTGTGTGCCTGGTGCAAGGCTGGTGTCTGGCACGTGATGGTGGTTCACCGTCTGGGCAGCATGGTGGCTCTGGATCAGCTGGTGGACATAGATCTTGCAGGGCACCCTGGCACAGGGTCATTGGGACCGTGTGGTGCCTGCAGTGCCCAGTGTGGCCCTGTGTATGGAAGAAGCCTGGCATGGGCCCTGACACAGGAGCGACTGTCCCAGCCCGCATCATGTGCTGTTTGAAGAATAGAAAGAGCTTTTTGTTTGTTGTATTGAAGATTGAACTTGGGACCTTGCACTTGGCAAGCAGATGCTTATGCCACTGAGCTGTAGCCCTGGTTCCCTAGCCCACTAAGAACTGTTTTTTTCTTTTTTTAGTGTTTTTAGTACAGAGCCTACAGGGTCTCACTACACAGATCGGACTTGTGGTGATCCTTCCTGTTTTTCAGCCTCCCAAGCGCTGGGATTATAGGTGCATGCCACCACACCCAGTCTCAATCACCTTCTCAGCATGCCCCGGTGGTGGGGCCGGCACAGCAGGCCAGGGACTGAGCCCCTGACCCCTGCGTCTACCTGAGCAGGCGCTTTCATCCATTGAGCTGTCTGGCTGGCCCCTAAGAGCTTGCTTTTAAGTGCGGCTGGAGTGTAGGACACTGCTCATGTGGGTGGTCATTGTGAGCGTGCAGCCTGTGAAACGAGTTATTCTGTTTCTTTCCAGGCCGAATGTTCATATTTTATGGTAACAAGACCTCAACGCAGTTCTTAAACTTCACTCCAACGCTGATCTGTACAGATGACCTTCAGGCTAATATCCTTGGCTCTGCCCCTGGACAGATGGATGGACGTGGGCAGTCTGCGACCCAGGACTAGGCGGGAGAGGGGTTTGGCCAGAGGGGCAGAGTCTCCCAGGGTGCTGCGGTCATCAAGTGTGGTCCCTGCCTGGTAGCTGGCTTTGCACACCTGTCACCTTCTTGGTTCCCTGAGTTGCTTCCTCTCTGCTCCTTTTGTTCTCCTGGATGTTATTCGTTACTTTGGAGGTCCAGGGCTCCCTGTCCTGGGCAGTCCTGCAGGGGTGGCTGCTTTTTTAAAAATGTATTTGGTACAGCGTTTCTCTGTGCAGCTCAGACTCCTAGTGATCTTCCTGTTTTCAGCCTCCCCAGTGCTGGGATTACAGGCATGTGCCACTGCAGCTGGTCTCAGTGGCCAGCTCAGGGTGTGGGGATGGGGGGCAGCAGTGCAGCATGTGGTGCTAGGGATCAAACCCTGGCCCCTGCGCGTGCCTAAGCAGGCACTTGGTCCGCTGAGCTATCTTGCCAGCTCTTGGGGTGGCTGCTTTTGCTGAAAATGGGGAGCACGTGATCTGGGATAGGTGGGTGTTTGCTCCATTTGCACTGCAGTGCCACCCTACCCCCAGTCTTGGAGGTGCATGAGAGGCCCCAGCTCAGCAGGGATGAACACCCCATTCCCTGCAGGGGCCACCTCCCTGAGACAGCTGCACTGCGTAGTGCGGGGACTCTGGGCTCATGGTGAGCTGTGTGGAGTGGTGAGCTCCTCACAGACAGGTCTGTGTTCACACCGTTTCCCCACATACTGTGAGTCAGGCAGATGTTCATGTTCAGGTCATGTGTGGGTGTTGAAGGCTCTGTCTGTGGTTGGGCCTGTTTGCCACCTCCCAGTTGCCTCTGAGTGGTGTCTCCTAGGGATGCGGCGACCCTGGGCCTGCTCCGTGGACAGTGGACAGTGGGTCCAGTGGGCAGAGAAGCTGTTTCCTGTTCACCTCCAGGTCCAACCTTGACTCCATGGGTTCTTTCTTTTCTTAGTTGTTGTTTTTCTTTCTTTCTCTTGCTGCTGAGACAGGGTTTGGCTGTGCAGTTCAGGCCTGCCTTGCAATCTGTAGTCCAGGCTGGCCTCGCACTTGCGATGATCCTCCTGGCTCTGCTGCCTGCGTGCTGGGATGACCAGTGTACACCACTCGCCCTACTGCTGCGGGTCAGTTTTCAGGAGTGGCTGCAGGAAAGCTCTCTACTGTGTGTTTGCAGCAGTTGGCTTGAACCCCCCTTCCAGCCCCCCATAAGCTTGGCGTCCCCGAGCTATCTCTCGGTTCTCTGAGGCAGTGAGTAGTCTTCTGTCAGGCCACAGCGGCCAACATGCCAAGGCCCCAGGAAGCCAGGCGAGCAGCTGGGTCGGGTGGACGCCTGGGGGTGTGTGACAGAGCGCAGGGAGCTGAGGGCAAAGGCTGTGATATGTGACTCTCAGCAGGGTATGGCTGGGCACGCATTGCCGTGTTGTGGCTTCTGTCCTCACCCACCTGGCAGAGCTGAGCTCCTTAATGCAGCCACATCTGAACCTGCAGACCAAGCCTGTGGACCCGACCGTGGACGGGGGTGCGCAGGTGCAGCAGGTAGTCAACATTGAGTGTGTGTCCGATTTCACGGAGGCGCCAGTCCTCAACATCCAGTTTAGGTGAGACTCCTGGTGCCTCGCGCGTGTGCAGTGTGGGTCGCTGTGGCCTGTGGTGCTCAGTATGAGGTGGAAAGGGATATGGCTGTACCTGCCACAGTGCACGGGGCCCTGGGTGCTGCTGTGTGGCTGGCGAGCTTGGTGCTTCAGGTCAGGGTGGACACCAGGCTCCAGGCGGCTGCTTGGACCTGGCTGGGATGTCAACATGGCCCCCAGCCCCTCTTGTGGCAGTGAGGGTAGCACAGTGCAGCGGAGGGGTCTGGGGAAGCACACTGTCGGTGTTCGAGTAGCTCGTTTAGCAAATACTTTCTTCAGGCTTCTTGTCAGGGAAGAGACCCACATAGGTTTTAGACTTGGGGCCTAGGAAAGTAACCGATGTGAACGGGAAGTGGTGGCGGGCGTCTGGCACCCTGCTGGCCCGCTGGCCCGTGGCTGCATCCCCGCCGGCACAGAGCAGTGTGGCCCCGGCCTGGCCTGCCTGCAGCTGCCCCGGCGGGGAGGGGTGCGTGGGGATGCGTCTGGCCTCCTGGACACTTAGGCCTCTGCGGGCAGGACGGCCGCCTCGGCTTGCGGGGGCCACCTCAGGGGCCCGCCCGCCCTCCCTGGCCCTGGCCGCCTTTCTAGTGCAGCGCTCTCTGTAGGTATGGTGGCACCTTCCAGAATGTGTCTGTCAAGCTGCCCATCACACTGAACAAGTTCTTCCAGCCCACGGAGATGGCGTCTCAGGACTTTTTCCAGCGCTGGAAGCAGCTGAGCAAGTGAGGGCCGCCCAGACAGGGGGGCTGGGTGGTCACTACTGGCGTGGCCACGCACTTACCCTGTGGTGCTGCTCGAAGCCCTCAGCAGGAAGTGCAGAACATCTTCAAAGCGAAGCACCCGATGGACACAGAGATCACCAAGGCAAAGGTGAGTGGCCGTGCGGTACCGTAGTGGGCGAGGTGGTGGCACTGAAGAGACGCCGTGGCCAGCACCTGTGTCCTGACCCAACCCCTGTGGGCAGATCATCGGGTTTGGATCGGCACTCCTGGAAGAAGTCGACCCTAACCCTGCAAACTTTGTGGGCGCTGGCATCATCCACACCAAAACCACCCAGATTGGGTGCTTGCTGCGCTTGGAGCCGAATCTGCAAGCTCAGGTCGGTGCCTAGGAGAAAATGGCGCAAGCTGTGTGGGTGAGGGGGTCCTGAGGGTGCTGTCCTGACGCAGCACGTGGTCCTGTGGCCATGCTCGGCATGGCAGCAGGGGCCCGCGTGCCCCGTGACATGGCTGCTTGAGGAGCCACCCGTCTCGGCTTCATGCTGGCCACTCTCCTGTCCACCATGCTGGTGGCATCTCCTGCCTTGTCCTCACAGGGGCCAGTAAGTGTTGGCTCTCTAGGTGCTGCACAGCTGGCTCACTAGCACAGGTGCACAGTTGACTATGGAAGGAGCCATGATGTGGCAGGGGGCCTCCTCCTCCACGGCCTGCGCCTGTGCCCGAGTCCTGTCCCTGCTAGCTGCAGGGTGTGGCAGCCTTTGGCTGGGGTGGGCCGGGGTGACTGTGAGGGGAACACTGGGCTACTGACTCCACCCTCTGTTGCAGATGTACCGGCTCACGCTGCGCACGAGCAAGGACACCGTCTCCCAGAGGCTGTGTGACTTGCTGTCAGAGCAGTTCTAACCCCGTGTGGGCAGTCGGGTTGTGTGTGTTGTTTCCCTTCATCTCTGCCACTGTCTTGGTGACCACACTGCACATAGTAGCCTTGTCTGAGCATCTCAGCACCAGGGCCTGCACTTGTATCATCTGCCCAGCCTCAGGGCTGGACGGGACACAAGGGGGTCAGCGACAGGGACCGCAGCAGGCCAGCCTGTCCGAGGAGGGACCTGACGCTGGGAAATGGAGGCAGCCTGTGGTTCAGTCTACAAATTAAAGGGAAATTAGAAGTTTGAGTGAAAGTGGGAATTTTATTGAGAGTTTATTGAGTGCTGCTGTCCTTTCCCTGGTCCCGGGAGCTGTGGGTAGGGCCAGTTGCTGGAGGTGTGGTACTGGCCCTGGGCTGGGCCATGTGCCCCTGGGGCCAGCTCCAGCACCACTGGACACTTTCAGGGCAGGATTTTAAACCTAGGAGCTGGAAGTGTTTGTGTTTTAGTGACTCTCGTTCTGCCCCGTTCACATGACTGTCTCCAGCAGTCTTCCTGATGTTTTTACAGTTTGTTGGAGATCTTAAACCTGCATTTGGAGGGTGGGCTCTGGTGGCTCCATGGGGCACCCACACTGCTCCTTTTTGGTCGAGTGAGTGTGCTGTACTCTTGGTGTAAAGATGTCCCTAGGGGTGTCCGTCCTTCCCTGCCGGCGGCCCTCACCATCAGCGTGGTAGCCCCTGGCTCCCTGGTGCCAGTTACAGGCCTGAGCACTGCAGACCCACACCTGTGCAGCCCCGTGGGCGGGGAGGAGGAGAGGAGGGAACCTGAGTCTGGGCAGAAAGTGACAGGGCCAGGTGCTGTGGTGGCCCTGGGTAGGTGTGCTGAGAGTGTGCCAGCCAGCCATGGCTGCACAGCCATGCTGTGTGCAGTGGCCTTGGGAGTCACCTCTGGGCCTGTACAACCCCCAACGTGTGCCTAGCCCAGGCTTCATGCTGGCGAGGCTGGGCAGCTTCGTCCTGAGCACACTGTGCCAGACACCATCGTCCTGGCTCTCTAGGCCGCACCCAAAACTCCCGCAGTCCCATACTGTGGATCTCACGCTGTTGGCTTTAGAGCATTCTCCCATCCTGGTCCTGTGTCTGCTGGAGCCTGGGGTCTGCGTCCTGCGCCTCGAGGTGTCCCTGCTGATTTCGGATCAGAAAGTCCCCGGCCTGAAGGGGCTTCTGCTGGGGCCCAGCCCTGCCCTTTGCCTGTGGGGTGCCTTCCCGCAGTACTTCTGTCCAGAAGAAAATAAACACTAGAGCAGAGCCTGGAGCAGTGTATGTGTGGTCTTTGGGGGGAGCATCTCGCGGAGCCCTGAGTGGCTACCTTGTGGGTGGCGTGCGCAGTGGCTTCCAGGGGCTGCAGCTTGGGGACCCCAGGAAGTGATGTGCCTTCACCCCACCAGTGTGACTTGCCCCTGGCCCAAGGGGCTCTGCAGGGCACAGCCATCCCTCCTTTCTGGTCAAGTGAGTGTGTTGTCCTCATAGTGCTCTGAGGTCTTGGATTATATGGGCCACCTGGAGTCCCCACTGTCCAAAATGCAGTTCCCCTGGCCCAACTTGGTGAGGCTGGACCTTCCTGATTTCCCCAGGCCTGACTGGTGTCTCCTGGGCTGACCGGGTGTGGGAGAGCCTGGCCAGACTTCCCAGCGTCCCCCAGGCTGCCGGCTGCAGCTGTGACCCTTTGGCCACACTGCCCTCTAGAGGCCTCTAGTGCTGATGCACAGGACAGATGGCCAGTGCTTCCTTCCCAGGGGCCTCTGCCTGGTTGGTCTCGAGTGGCCATGGAGGGTGGGGGTCCCCAGGCCAAAGGTGGCCTCCCTCCCCATCCAGCCCACCAGACCGAGGTGGCGGCAATGGCAGTGCTCAGACCTCTGCCTCACAGAAAGCAGTTTATTTGGAATTCTCTTGCTGGTGGCAGTGGCTTCTTTGGAAAGCGCAGGTGCTGTGGGCAGGGCTGAGGGGCATATTGCATCCACGTCACCCTCTGCGCTTCACTGCCTGTGGTGTGCACCTTGCACCAGTGCCCACACTGCCTGACTAGCCATCCCCCTTCCTAGCCTCTGCTCTGGATCTCAAGGTCTTGGCCTGGGACTGGGATGGGGACCAGAGGGTGTGAGCAGGGGCATCTACCCTTGACCCTTGACCTGTGACCCCGCGCCTCTACTCTCCACAGCGCTGGCGCCCGCACACACAGCTGTGGACCACTTGAACGGTGAGCACGAGCGGCTGGCTGGGTGCGCTGGGGTCCTGGCAGGGCAGCAGCAGCTCCTGCATGTGGAAGCTGAGGGGCCGGCAGCAGCCACAGTGGACGTCCAGCTGCTGGGTGGTGACATTGAAGCTGCCAAGGGTAGAGGGGGCAGGTGAGATGGCCCGGGCAGGAGCCCCAAGGGTGCTTTCTGTGAACTGCGGCTGCTCAGGAGCAAATCCTAGCTGCCCCAACTCTGGGAAGAGGGCCCCAAGTGGCTCACCTGGCAGCCGAGCTGCAGGCCCCCTCGCAGTACGTCAGGGTCACGGATGTGGTGCAGCCCTGGTGAGTGACCTCCTGCTCTCGCTCCCGCACACTGCAGGGCTCTGGGGCCAAAGGACAGTTAGGCCAGTGGGGCGGATCCCAGATGGTGAATAAGAGGACACCCGCCACCCAGGCGTGGACCCCTGGTCTTCAGGGCACTTGCCCAGGAAGCCGCAGCCCACTGCATGTAGGGCTTGGTGAGGCCCACAAAGGGTCATCCACGTCCTGGGTGGGGGCGGTGTTGTCGAGGACTCCCTGTCACCCAGCTAGGGAAATGGACCAGGACCCTTAGAAAGGACAGGGTGGGGACCAGGACCCTTCAGCATGCAGGAACACGGCACTGGGCAGATGTGGCATGGGGGCAGCACTGTGGGTGTGGCAAATGCCAGTGTGCAGCTTGGGGTTAAAAGGGTGAACTAAAAACTAGGCTGGAAGTATGCATCTGCAGTCCCAGACTCCGAGAGGCGTAAGTAAGAGCACCTCCAGGTCAAAGCCAGCCTGGATGAGTCATGAGGCCTGTCTTAAAATGGCTGAGGATGTAGCTCGGGCCCTCTTCTTGATTCCTAGTACTGTAAAGTTAATCAGTGACACGGAGTTAATAAAAGATCCTGGAACAGAAATGATCCTCTGCAGGTGCCTTTCCTTAGCAGGCCACCCTGTGTGCTTGGAGCCTCCATGTGCCCCTACCTCCTCCCGCCCCCTTCCTTGTTCAATAAGCTCACTTCCCGAGCAAACAGCAATCTCCTCAGTCCTCTAGCAGCTACAAGCCCTCTGCCTGGATGGTGGGGAGCATCTCGCATGGGGAGCTCCAGCGTGATGAGGGGAGCCCAGCCCCAGGGGATGTTGGGTAGGCCAGGCACAGCCCAGGGCTCAGGAGCTGGGTGGACCCTGTGTAGGTAGGGCAGAGCCATGCCTGTAGCCAGCCTCCCCTGCCCCAGCAAAGGGTTGAGCCTGCTGACTGCTGTGATACCCCGCTGAGCCTGTTTGTCTTTTCCTGCTGCTCTGGTGGGAGGGCCCCTGCACCCTCCTCCAGCTGAGTGCCCCATGATGGGAGGGCCCCTGCACCCTCCTCCAGCTGAGTACCCCATGGTGGGA